TTCCAGCAGCCGCTTCTTCTCCCTGCCCTCCTCTTCCGCGGCCAGCTCCCTGCCCCTAACCTCGCACCCCCCGGCAGCCCTGCTTCCACCGGCCCCCCCCCCAATCTCCCCAGTCGTCACAGCCTACCTTCAATGTCAAGGGTTGTGATCTTCCCCTACCTAAATGCTTGCCTTTTAAAAGGTCACACAAGGAAAGGCAACAGAAATGGTGTCAAAGACCAAGAGACTGTTCAACTACGTAGGGCTCCTAATAAACGAGCAGAAGTCAGCTCTCAATCACTTGCAGGACTTGGGAGTTCACAGGGGTACGGCTCTACTCCATATTGGCCAGGGTATAGCTACCGCAACAAAAGTTCGATAAGCTGCACGATCTAGTCGCCACCCTACTGGTGAATCCCTCTACAGCTGTCCATAACTGATGGGCCATATGGCTGCCACCACTTACGTGGTGCAGTATGCTCATCTAGCATTGTCTGGCGATAGTCTATACACCATCCACGCACCCATTCCACAAGCCAGTCCTGGTACCCAAGCAAATACTGGACTCCCTCAAATGGTGGTCATTCCCCCGCAATTTGCTCTCTTTCTTCAACTGGAACCATCACTACAAAGCACAACTGACATCTCTGATAGGGTGGGGCACACACTTACCTCATGAGACTATGCTGTGCATCAATCTGTTAGAACTCAGAGCTGTCCAGAATGCATGCAGGCACTTTCTCAGCCATCACCAATTGCACCATTCATATACTGACAGACAATACTACTATGTTCTACATAAACAGACAGGGTGGAGTTCGCTCCTGATTCTTCTGTGCAGAGTCTATACTGCTCTAGAACTGGTATATTCAACACAAGGTCTTCAGAGCAGCATATTTGCCACGGGTCAACACCATCATGGCAGATGCTCTCAGCTGCAATTTCACTATAGCTTATGAGTGGGAACTCCACCCAGCAGTAGCACATTCCATTTTTTTTCCAAAGGTGGGACTTCCTGATGATGGATCTTTTTGCAACCAAGAGCAACACAAGGGCAATGCATTCCTAATCCCATAGAACGAACTAATTCACGACGCCTTCCCTCCAGTACCATTGATCCTCAAAATCCTGCGCAAGTTCCACTCAGATGGTGCTCGTGTCATCCTAGTGGCCCTATACTGGTCCAGATAGACCTGATTCCTGCATGTCCATTGAACCACTGTATCCTCTTCCACAAAGATGCGATCTCCTCTCCCAGAATGCAGATAAGCTACTTCACCCCCATCCTCAGACCCTTCACCTCCAGGATTGGCTCGTGTCTGCTTCTGTGGAGCCGAAGTGGGCTGAGTGATTAAGAACCATCTTACTTCATAGCGGGAGGCAATCTACTAGGAAAACTTACCTACCGAAATGGAAGCTCTTCTCATCCTGGTGTTATCGGATGTACACCAACCTTGGCAAAGCCCCACTTCGTACAGTATTCGATTACCTACATGACTTAAAGGAGTGGAGGTCTATCTATATCCTCCATTAAAGTACACCTCACAGCCATTACAGCCTTCCATGAATGCATTGAGGGGTTATCAGTGTTTGCGCATCCAATGATTAGAAGATTTCTCAGGAGACTCCAGAACCTTTACCCCCTTCACAGGGCTCCACTGCCCTCATAGAATCATAGAGCTGGAAGAGACCTCAGGAGGTCATCAAGTCCAGCCCCCTCCCCAAGGCAGGACCAATCCCAACTAAATCTACCCAGCCAGGGCTTTGTCAAGCCGAGACTTAAAAACCTCCTGGGATGGAGATTCCACCACCTCCCTAAGTAACACATTCCAGTGCTCCACCGCCCTCCTAGTGAATAATTTTTCCTAATATCCAACCTAGACCACCCCCCCTGTAACTTGAGACCATTGCTCCTTGTTCTGCCATCTGTCACTACTGAGAACAGCCTTTCTCCAGCCTCTTTGGAACCTCCCTTCAGGAAGTTGAAGGCTGCTATCAAATCCGCCCTCACTCTTCTCTTCTGCATACTACAAACCCAAATCCCTCAGTCTTTCCTCATAGGTCATGTGTTCCAGTCCCCTAATCATTTTGGTCGCTCTCTGCTGGACCCTCTCCTTTCTGTAGTGGGGAGGCCGAGAACTAGACATAATACTCCAGATGTGGCCTCACCAGAGCTGAATAAAGGGGAATAATAACTGCTCTGCATCTGCTGGCAATGCTCTTCCTATTGCACCCTAATATGCCATTAGCCTTCTGGGCTACAAGGGCACACTGACTCATATACAGCTTCTCATCCACTGTAATCCCCAGGTCCTTTTCTGCTGAACTGCTACTTAGCCATTCAATCCCCAGCCTGTACCAATGCTTGGGATTCTTCTCTCCCAAGTGCAGGACTCTACACTTGTCCTTGTTAAGCCTCATGAGATTTCTTTTGGCCCAATCCTCTAATCTGTCCAGGTCACTCAGCACCCTATACCTGCTCTCCTGCGTATCTACCTCCCCCCATAGCTTAGTGTCATCTGCGTACTTGCTGAGGGTGCAATCCATCCCCTCATCCAGGTCATTAATAAAGATGTTGAACAAAACCGGTCCAAGAACTGATCCTTGGGGCACTCCGCTAGAAACTGACCGCCAACCTGACATCAAGCCGTTGATCACTACCCGTAGGGCCCAACAGTCTAGCCAGCTTTCTATCCATCTTACCATCCATTTATCCAATCCATACTCCTTTAACTTGCTGGCAAGAATATTGTGGGAGACCGTATCAAAAGCTTTGCTAAAGTCAAGGTATATCACATCCACTGACTTTCCCATGTATACAGAGCCAGTTACATCATCATAGAAGCTAATCAGATTAGTCAGGCACTTCGTGAATGCATGTTGACTATTCCTGATCACTTTCCCGTCTTCCAAGTGCTTCAAAATGGATTCCTGGAGGAGCCCCGCCATGATTTTTCCAGGGACTGAGGTAAGGCTGACTGGTCTGTAGTTCCCTGGATTGTCCTTCTTCCCTTTTTTAAAGATAGGCACTACATTTGCCTTTTTCCAATCATCCGGGATCTCTCCCAATCTCCACGAGTTTTCTAAGATAATGGCCAAAGTCTCCGCAATGACATTGGCCAACTCCCTCAGTACCCTCAGCTGCATTAAATCAGTGCCCATGAATTTGTGTATGTTTAGTTTTTCTAAATAGTTCCTAACTTGTTCTTTCCCCACCAAGGGTTGTCCACCTTCTTCCCATATTGCCTTGTCTAGTGCATTTGTCTGGGAGCTGACCTTGTCTATGAAGACAGAGGCAAAGAAAGCATTGAGTACTTCAGCTTTTCCCACATCATCTGTCACTAGGTTGCCTCCCTCACCCAGTAAGGGCCCCACACTCTGTAATTGCTAACATGCGTGTAGAAACCTTTCTTGTCCTTCACTTCCCAATTCCAACTGCGCTTTTGCCTTCCTGATAACTCCCCTGCATTCTCGAGCAATATATTTATGCTCCTCCCTATTCATCTGTCCAAGTTTCCATTTCTTGTAAGCTTCCTTTTTGTGTTTAAGCTCACCATGGATGTCTGCAGTAAGCCAGTCTGGTTGCCTACCATATTTGCTTTTCTTGCTGTGCATCAGGATGGTTTCTTCCTATGCCTTTAATAAGGCTTCTTTAAAATACGGCCAGTTCTCCTGGACTCCTTTCCCTTTCATGGAAGCAGCCCAGGGAATCCTGCCCATCAGTTCTCTGAGGGAGTCAAAGTCTGCTCTTCTGAAGTCCAGGGTGTGTATTTTGCTACTCGCCTTTCTTCTTTTGATCAGGATCCTGAAATCTACCATGTCATGATCGCTGGTGCCCAGGTTGTTACCCACCTCTACTTCCCTTACTAGTTCCTCCCTGTTTGTGAGCAGCAGGTCAAGCTGCACATGGCCCCTGCTTCAGCACTTGTACCAAGAAGTTATCCCCAACATTCTCCAAAAACTTCCTGGATTTGTCTGTGTACTGCTGTATTGGTTTCCCAACAGATGTCAGGATGATTAAAGTTGCCCATGAGAGAACCAGGGCCTGCGATCTTGAAGCGTGTCTCAGTTGTCCAAAGAAAGCTTCATGAACCTCATCCTCATAGGACCTAAACCTGGTTCTTGAGTCCCTTACGAGACCTCCCTTTGAACCTATGGCCACATGCCCTGTCTTGCTCCTCACAATTAAGGTGCTTTTTTTAGTGGCCATCACCTCTGCTGTAATGTTGGGTCCACCGTACATGGTCTTTACCAAGACAAAATGACTCAGACCACATCCGTCTTTCTACCTAAAATCAGTACCTGCTTCCACATTAATGAACCCATAATCCTACCTAGTTTTTTTCCCAAAGTCTCAAGCATCTCCTACACAGGCTGTGCTTCACACCCTGGATGTCAGAAGTGCTTTGGCTTTTTATATTGACAGAACTCAGACATTTCGCAAGTCCCCATGCCTGTTCATCTCTATCACAAATTATTCAAAAGGCAACCCAATTTCTACGCAACACATTTCCAAACTGATAGCAGGTTGCATACTCAAGTGCCATTCCCTTCGCAACAAACAACTGCTGATGGCACCAAGAGCACACTACACCCATGCTACAATGATATCCATGGCATTCCTCAGCAGTGTGCCTCTCAAAGCTATTTATCCAACAGCCACCTGGTCATCTGACCACATGTTTTCTAAGCATTGCGCCATCATGCCTCAGCTGGCAGCAGAGACAGCAGTGGCTATGGCAGTTCTATCTGCTGCTATGAAGCAGTAACTCCAAGTCCCACCAGCCGTAGTACTGCTTTATAGTCACCTTACGTGGAGCACCTACGGGGACATCACCTGAAGAAGAAAAGGAAGATACTCACCCTGTGCAGTAATGACTGTTGTTCAAGGTGTGTCCCCCTGTGGGTGTTCCATGACTCTCCCTTCTTCCCCACTACTCAGAGTTCACTTGCTCTGCAGTAGATGAGAAACTGAGGGGAGAGGGTCAGGCCGCGCTCAGCTGTCTAACTGCCAGCAGTGCAAGAAGCTTGCTGGTGCATGCACAGCCTGACTGCTTTGAAAAAGTCTCCAATCCTACAGCTCCGGGGATGACTGGGTGAGTAACTTCCTTTTTTAGAGTGTAAAAAGCATGAGTATCTCTTTGTTAGATGCAGCAGAAGCTAATTTACACATTGGGAAAGTGCAACAACTGCAGCTAGTTTTCATTTTTAGCATCAGCAAACTTTAAAATATTTTCGGTATTAATTCAGAAAATTTATACACAGTTACCACTCTCCAGTGTACTGTCTTTCTCTTTCAGAGCTCTACTATATTCTAGAACTAATCAATTTTAAAAACAATTTTTTAAACAGTAATTCTGTTTAACTTGCTGGCAAGAACACCATGGCAGACCCTATGAAAACCTTTGTTAAAGTCAAGGTATATCACGTCCACTGCTTTTCCCCATATTCACAGAGCCAGACTTGCCCTTGGTGAATCCATGTGGATTTTACTGTGCTCCAAATGATGTAAAATGGATTCCTTGAGGACTTACTCCATTTTTTTAGCGACTGAAGTGAGGATGACTAGTCTGTAGTTACTTGGATTCTCCTCCTCCTCTTTTCTAAAGAGCAGGCAGTACATCTACCTTTTTACAATTCTTTAGGACCTGCCCCAATCACCACGATTTCTCAGAATCAGCCCCATGGACACGTGTGTTCAAGTTTTCTAAATAACCTTTAACTCGTTTCACTACTGAGGGCTACTCACCTTCTCCCCATACCATGCTGCCCAGTACAGCAGTCTGAGCTAGTCTGTGAAGACCAAGGAGGCAGGGAGAAAAAAAGCATTGAATATTTCAGTTTTTTCCATTCGATCTGTCACTAGGTTGCCTTCTCCATTCTGTAAGGGTCCTACAACTTCCCTAACCTTGTTGCTAACATATACTTCTTGTTATCTTTCACATGCCTTGCTAGCTGCAACTCCAGTTGTGTTTTGGCTTTCATGATTACACCCATTGCATGCTTGAGCAATATTTTCTACATTCCTCCTAGTCATCTGTCCAACTTAACATTTCTTGTAAGATTTCTTTTTGTATAATCTCTCAGAAGTTTTCTTTGTTAAGTCAAGGTTGTTGCCTAGAAAATTTGCTATTCTTTATTCTTTGCACATTGGGATGGTTTGTTCCTTTACCATCAATATATCTTAAGGGGGCTGTCTTGTCTTTATCCAGCTTAGGGGGCAGAGTAAAGTCCCACCACCGAAGGAGCTATTTCCATTGTTTCACTCACTTAGTATCCTCGTAGAGTCTACCAGGTCTATTACTGTGCTTCATTTATAGTAAACCTGGCCTTTGACCCTTATCTGATGTTGTGGTCTTCAGAAGACCACCCTTATCTGATGTTGTGGTTCTTCTGGAGTTTGCTGTGCTATCTGTACAGAGCCAGCATTGCACACATGTAGTGGAATGGTTATCATCGTATATAGCAAGATACCTTTCAAAACGCCACCTTGGTGACTTCTGATCACACTCACCAAAAGATCATCTTCATGGAGGCAACTCTCTTGATCCCCGTCACAGAGGTAAGTCTTCCCTGCAGATCCTTTTAATAAATCATCTAAGAGGAGAGTGGGAAGGCCCCAGAGTGAGCCCTGAGACAGCCATAAGCAATCACTGTCTCACTCAGTATCTTTGGCACCACTAGCACCAAAATCATCTCAATCCAGCATCCCTGGATCTCAGAACTAGATTAGATAGCAACTTGTACTGCAGAGAGGCCCCATAGACAAAGGCACTAAGTCTTCAGGTCCAAAGACCAGGAGAAGATGCTCCTGTTACCCAACTCCACATTATTGGTACTACCAGTGAAAGCTCATTCAGTACAAGAGCAACCAAGATCCCTACCCCCTCCCAAAACCACTATCAATGCTGGGACAAATGGAATCTCAGCATTCCAGAGACCTCCACCTGCCGGAAGCACTGGACTTGTCACCTTTCAATACTGAGAAATCTGCATTGAAAGTATCCCTGATGCCAGGCCATGCCCCTCTGGGCAAAAATTTTTTGCAGTCCAACTGGGGCACCTGGTAATCCCTGGGACTGTCAGAGCACCACGTCAATCCCAGGGGATGGGGCAGAAATGTTTTCCACATTTGGCCAGGTCACCCAATAGGAATCAATGGGAGGTTTACTTGGTGGCTGTTCTGTTTGCAGGCCTCCTCATGTAGTGTTCATGACCAAGAAAGTCCAAGAATATACCTGCAGATAACTCCACCACCACCATGTTGGTATGGGAACCCCTGATGCCACCACCTGGCTTTATGCCACTAGCAATGTCATGGTCATATTAGGACCCTTGGGTAGCATGTCTCTTGATCTTCAAGCCACAGCTAAGAGCCATCAGGACATCCCCCTCCCCCTCAGCTGCAACAGCCAGAGCTTAAGAACCTCCTCAAGACAGAGGAACAGGAAGCAGGTACCAAGGAGGAAGTGACTCTGAGGACCATATCCTCCTCGTCTCCAGATGAAACTATCATGCCTTCACCATCTCTGTCAGACTTTAGTCTTTTCCACAAACTGGTGAAGAGAGTAGCAGATGTTCTCTAGTTAACATTGGAGGAAGTCAAGGACACCTACCATGGGCTCCCTGACATTCTCTAGCCTTCCCTCCCAATTAATGAGGCAATTTTAGAGCCAGCTATAAGACCACATGGCAAACCCCAGAATTGGTGCTAAACTACAAGTGGATGGACAAAAATTCTGTGTCCTTGCTAAGGAATCTGAATTTCTGTTCTCCCACGTGCCACCCAACTCCATCATGGTGGATGCTATTAACTCCCTCAGTCAAGAGCCATTCTCTTAGGGATGAGAGGTGTCTTGATATTTTCAGTAGAACTTCTTAAACCATCTACAATTTTGTATCACCACATACCAGACCCTTGTGGCAACATATGATTAGATGAATTACTCTATTGGTAAGATGCAAGAAGCATTTAAGCATGTGACCAATGTAAGATAATTAAACAGGAGAGTCAATTAGTGGCAAAGACATAATTGTAATCTGACCTCAACATGGCAGCTAGGTCCATCTCCATGGCTGTGGTGATGTGACAAGTGTCATGACTCCACTTGTTAGGTTTCCAGAAAGGTACAATTCACCACACAGTTGAGGACTCTCTCTCAAGGTCATAAAGTTCTCTGTTGTGATGACCTGAAGCCTCCCTTCCACTGTGAAGGACTCCAAGCTATCCTCTGGTCATTGGGTAAGTATACACTAGGACAAAAGAGACTATTTAGTCCCCAATCCCAGCATAGACCATGGACATCTTCGTACTAATCTCAATGCCAGCAGAAGCCACAAATAAAGGGGAAATCCCTAATGCAAACCACCTGCTCCCAGGGTGAATTGATCTAAATCACCAAGAAAAAATAATTGATTTAAATCAAGATACTACATAGATTTCTTTAAAAATTGTGCCAATTTGATTACTAAAACATGATAATTTACAATTCAGTGCAGCATTTTACAATATCTAAGAGGATATACATCGTGTAATTTTTTTTTACATAACTCGATTTAATTAATTTAGGAAATAGGATCTAATACTCACTCCCTGTATCAAGCCGCAAATGCAGCAGCAATACATTAGAAATGGTATGAACTAAATCACACAAAATAGCACTTATTTATGTAACATTTAAGATTGTTTAATAAAATGTTTCACATTTGCAATTCCAGTTGTCGCCTTAGTGGCCACCCGGTGACTGTCAGGGCTGTTCCCCACTCTGGTACTTTGAGTGCAGAAGGTAAGGGCCTGCAAAACAGCTTCAGAACTTTGCCTCTACAGGCACTAGTTACAAAAAACTTCTCCCCAGAATCATAATCACACATTTTGGGGGAAATCGCTGCCACCATCAAGTGCTTTTTGATCCCTGAAAACCAAGGGATGAACACTTGAAATCACCCCCAGGGGTACCCTAAGCTCTTTTGCCCAAAAAAAGCTCGAAAAAAGGAGAGAGAAAAACAAGCTGCAGTCTCTGGCAACTGACCCCCTCAATCAGAGACATGCAAATACAGACTTTCCAGGACACAAAAATCAAATTATCACCTTACCAAAAAAACAAACAAAAAAACCACCCAACATCAGAAACCATTACTTGATTGCTAGATGTTACAGAGCAATTAAGGAAAACAAATTAAACAGAAAAATCTCTGAGGACAATGCAAAGTAGTAAATAGGGAGGGGAGGCGTGGAATCACACAGAGCAGTTCAAACCAAACCACAAAATAAAGAAAAATTACCTGAACGTGACTAGATTCACTTCTCCTTACTTCCAATACTCTCTTTGTTGAGTCCACTCGCAGACCATGAATTCCTTGGAGACATAATAGTCCTGCCAGGGTTTAAATCATGCTCTCTTTCTCAACTCCTGGTTTCTCTCTCCCACACAAAGAAAGCAGGTAGAGAACCTATATCTAAATCAACTCTTACCTTGTTTGGTTCTCCGGGCTCCCTAGCCAACAACTCTGCTAGCTACCTGAGCTTCATCACTGGGTGCTGGTCATCACTACTTCCATCCATTACACTGTCCTTACACTTTTTTAATTTTCAAAATTTTATTAACTCTAACAGATAAATCCTCAGAATACCAAATATCCAGTGTCCCACAGCTTCTATAATTAGTTCTCGTAATGTTCCATTCCTGTAAGTAAGTACTGCATCTTTTTGCACTGCTTGTACTTGACATGGTTTTCCTTTTTTGCACAGCAAATGAATTTCCTTCTTCAAAATATTCCTGGATACGGTCTCTCTTATGCCCAGAAGCCATGACAGTTTTTCTGTGGCAAGAGCAAGGGAGTTATGTACGAAACTGTGTGCATGCTGAATAATATTTTCCCTTTTGCTTTCCAGTCCACTCCACACTTCTTTTCTATGCTTTCTCTGCCTTTTCCTATATACTATGTCTTTAAGATGTCATGCTTGGGCCAGGTCCCCACCCACAAAAACTCAGAACAAATTCACTCCAATCCAGCCTTTGTCCTTCTTTTGTTACTTTAGTTTGCTGAGAAACAGAAAAGTTACCTAACTTTCATTACTGTTGTTCTTTGAGATTGTTGCTCATGTCCATCGCACTGAGTGCACGATTGTTGGGAGTTTTTTTCCCTCAGCAACACCTACTGGGTCCCCTAGAGTAGCACCTCCATGGCGGTGCATATATATCCTTGCTGCACTCCATCCCCTCAGTTCCTTCTTGCCAGAACTCTACAGTGAAGGGGAAATGGGCAGGATTTGGAAAGCACACTGTCAACGCATCTCAGAGAACAGTTATGAAAGGCAGGTAACCATTTTTTCTTCTTTGAGTGATTGTTCATGTCCATTCCATTTAGGTGAATCCCAAGCTGTACTAAAAGAGATGGGATCAGAGACTAATTGGAAATATACTGCAACTCAGGTCTCCTGAATGCTGCATCATCCCTAGCATGCTGGGAGATGGGAGAGTGGTTGGTAAAGACCAAGTTGCTGTCCTGCATATATCCATGATGGGTACCTGTGCCACAAAGGCTGCCGAAGAGGCCTGGGCTCTACTGGAGTGGGCCATGATAGCTGGCACTGGCACTTTAGTGAGGTCATAACAGGTCCTGATGCAGGCTGTGATCCACAAATATCTGCCAGGTGGAGATTGGCAGACCCGTAATCCTATCTGCTATGGAGATGATTGTGTTCTCTCTAAATGAAACTCCAAAGCATGTCACGCATCCAGGGTGTGGAGCACTCATTCTTTATTATTAGGATGTGGTTTAGGAAATAAAACAGGGAGGAAGATAGCTTGATTTATATGAAATTGGGACACCACCTTAGGTAAAAAATGCTGTATGTAGGCATAGTTTGAACTTCTCTTTAAAGAGGAAGAGGGCTCTGAGATTGATTTCTGACACCCGTCTAGCTAACGTAATAGCCACCAAGAATGTTATTTTCTGTGACAACGGCAACAAAGAGCAAGTCATTAAAGGCTTAAAAGGTGGCCCCATGAGTCTTGTGAGGACCAGGTTAGAGTCTCAGGGTGGAAGAGGCTGACACACCTGTGGGTGAAACCTATCTAGGCTCTTCAGGAAACTATGTACCATCGGGTTTGCAAAAACTGTCTTGCCTTGGATACCAGGGTGAAAAGTAGACAGCCGCTAGATGGATCCAGACTGAGGGTACAGATAATCCCTGTGTTCTTAGATCTAACAAGTACTCCAGTATGAATGGGACCACGGCCTCCAGCATGGCTATGCCCTTAGAGAAGGACCAAACTGAAAAATGTGTACACTAAACCAGGTAAATGGCTCTAGTGGAAGGTTTCCTACCATCCAAGAGCACCACCTTCACTTATTCCAAATCTTGTTGCTTCCCCCGTGTCAACCATGGAGCTTCCCCAAGGCCATTAGGTGGAAGGATTGCAGGTTGGGGTGACATAACTGTTCATGGTCCTGGGTAATTAGGTCTGGGAACATGTGAAGAGTTGTATGCTCCTCCACTAAGACATCCAGCAGCTTCGTGAACCAATACTGGCAGGGCCAGACTGGCCCCACCAGGATCAGAGAAGTTCTGTATTGCTGTGCCTTAAGGAGAACTTTGCAGATGGGGGCCCTTTTGCACAAGGGTTTACTATGACAAGAGATACAACAGATGGATGGCCCCTTACAGTGAGGGAGTCATAGAATCAACACTAGCATTTATGAAGGAAGGGATCCTACTCTTGTTATTTTGTAATACCCAAAAGCAGGTGTGGGAAACCTTTTTTGAAAGAAAAATCTATCTGGGGCTGCACACGAGTGAGAAGCAACCACTAGTTACCAGTAACCACTAACAAAATTATATATACATTTAATTTTAAATAATGGATAATTAACATGGTGCCCATCCCCAACCTGAAAAAATCACCCAGCTTGCTGGCCCATGTCCCAACACACTCTGTGCATGCCCCATGCCTATGCTCCCGTCAGGACCACACACAGACAGCTGGTACTGTCTAACTGCTACACCCCCACACACCCTATAGTTGTGTCCAGCCTTGCAATCTACTGACCCCAGTCCCTGCCCTTAAATGAAGGTCCCACAGATTAGGGGAGGCATGTGGCAGCTCCAGCCCCAGTTGCCAGAGCAGCATCCTGCCACCCGCCACGTGGCTTCTCTGGACCGGGCCGCCACAGCAGCCTCCTGCCGCCCAGCTCATGGCTCTTCTGACTCCAGCCACCAAAGCAGCCTCCTGCTACCCACCTCACAGTTCCTCCAGCCTCCAGCCCTGGCCCACGGCTCTGCATAGGAGGTGGTCAGGGTGGAAATCTTTTCCGCACACCTGCGCAAGTGCACAGTTTAGAGAGAACCCTGCAGGCTAGCAGTTCTGTGTGCTCCAGTCCCGCAGTAGGCACCGGCTCCCTGAGTCACAAGGGCTGGATCCAGGCAAGCTGGGGGCTGCACCCAGCTGCTGGTCCTGAGATTTGCCACCCCTGCACAAAAGGAAAGGAGGTTGGAGACATACTAGGACTCAGAGCTCCCAAAAAGTTTATCAAAACTCAAAAATTCAAATCAGTCACCTTATCATTCCACTTTGGACCAGACAGTTTGGTAGCCCTTGACCTGCAGAATGCCTATTTTCATCTCAACCCCACCACAAACAGATTTCTCAGATTCATTCTAGGGTACAGCCACTACCACTGCAGAGAGCTCCCCTTCAGGCTATCGCCATCCATGAGAGCATTTTACAAAGTTCTCTCAGTGCTGGCCACTCATTCGCGTTCCCAAGGGATAATGATCTACCCTTCCCCGCATGGTAGTCTCCTCAGAGCCAGATGTCTTCAAAAGACTCACCAAGTCACTGAAGCGACAATGCACGTGCTTACAGATCTGGACCTAGAGATCAATACCCAAAAGTCAAGCTACATTCAGTGCCATTTCTGGAATTCATAGGGGCCAACTTTGACTCGTTACAGGCCAAAGTCCTCTTGCCTCAACACAGGTTCCTGTACATAGGCACACACAGGCACTCTTCAAAGCAGCCCACAGATATCAGCCAGGCTCTGCCTCCAATCTGCAGGGCATATGGGAGCAGGCATGGTGGAAGACCACATGCCAGGCTTCACATGCAATGTCTCCAAATGTGGGTCAGCTGGCTTTAAAGAGCAAACAAGGCCAGGCTGGACAGATTCCTGTCACCATCCACCAGACAGGCACCATTTGCAAGGGGACCTCTTTTTCACAAACGGTCCTGTTGTTGCTCCTCGCCACTGACACTTCACTCAAAGGGTGGGGTGTGCATCTAAATGGTCTCATATCACCACCCATGGAGATACCACTTCACATTAATCTCCTCCAGCTCAGAGCAGGCAGGAACACCTGCACCCATTTTCTCCCTCTGGGCACAGGATCACACACGCAGACCCTAACAGACAATGTAGCCTGTATGTACTATATCAGTCAGCAAGGAGAAGCCAGGTCACCTTCTCCACGTGCAAAAGCAATGAGGCTAATTGGTTCAACTCCCACAATGTTATATTGTCTATGACTTACCTCCCTGTGCACAAAACTCAATAGCAGACAGTTTCAGTCACAAATTCCCACAAGATCACGAGTATTTCACAACCTGTTCAGGTCCGTGGATAGTATGCTCCCCCCCACCCCCCATCATTCTTGCCACTCACCTGAACAAGAAATGTCCTCACTACCAGAGTGGGGATGGGATAGCTCTCCCTGGGTAAAGTTTTCTCCTCTCCTGAGACAAGATCCTTCTCTTGGCCTTTCCCTCATTTACTTTACTACTGAAGGGCCTGCTGAAAGTAAAAAGGAACAGAGCTCACATCATTCTGATTACTCTTACTTGGCCAAGACAAACTTAATACCCTTACCTGCTACGGCTTGCAACATACCCCTTAATCCTTCACCCAACCACACCTTCATTCCACACCTCTCAAGGAACAGATATCGTCTCCTACATCCCAGCTTGATTCTCTGCCTCAAGTTATAATTCCTGGTTTTCTTTAGAAAACCTCTGCTCAAGAGAGATAGAAGAGGTTCTATTACATGGTAGAAAGTCCTTGACAGGACATACTTAAAACAGAAACAGTCCAGGTTTCAGATCTGATGTATACCCCAATAAATCTCTGCAATATCTGTGACTTTTCTGCATGTCATGGACTATGTATTGACCCTAATCTCTCCAGGTCCAGAAAGCAGCAGTAACAGCTTTATATCAACCTGTAGAAGGCTATTCTGTGCTGTCACACTCAACCACTATGAGATTCCTCAAGGATATAGTTAACCTCTTCTCTCAACTTTGACTGTCTATTCCTACATGAGACCTAATCCTGCCTCCTAAGCCATGGTCACTTGTTTGCTGTTGTATCTATCAGTGAAAACAGCCTTCCTGATAGCAATTACCTTGGCCTGGAGAATAAGATAGATGGTCTGATGACACACACCCCACACACGCTATTTTTTCTGGCCCCATCTAAAATTCATCCCTAAGGTAACCTCCCCATTTCAAATTAATCAATTGATTCACCTTCCAATCTTCTACCCAAGCCTCATCAAGACAACATGGGGGAGCTCATAGCTACTGCAGGACTGGATCACACAAAATCTGCTAGCCTGAACTCGTGTATTGACACACATACATTCCTTGACACATGAGGTAGCCTTCTAGCTTTCTGATTACAAGTATCCTTAGCAGCATACAGGGACGGTGGAGATGCAAAGGGTGACATGGGATTCGTAGTGATTGCTTCCAATCCAAAATATCAGGTTGGTGAGCTGAGGGCATGAAAATATACAATATTTTATGACAACCCTTTAGAAAGGGTTCCTGGAAAAGAGAAGTAACACTCTCAAAATACTACTAGTAAGTAATCTCTTGGTGGAAAAAGCAAACAAGAAAATGCTCTCCCAACATGAAGCACAGCTCCCTGCACCATTGAAGAAATGGAGAAACTGGGGATAACAGTCTCATATAGCCCTGACTCTCAATATTTGATACTGCATTCATAGACGGTTTCTGAAGCACAGCAACATGATGTGCATATCACAGAAAGTGCTTCAAAAACTTTGTTTGCTTCTCCAATTACAGCAGTGGCCATGCCTGTAAGAATCTGGTATATCAGCTTAGAATAACCTGAGACACATTTATGCAGCTCCTGATTCTGCATTTATTATACAGAACACAAAAACAGACAGCAACATTCAGAAGCCTTGTTCAGACCTCTCTCTAGGTTGGTCAGTTGGAAATAGTTTGTTGAATTATTTCATGATCATGAACAAGTTGCATGAGCTGTTTAACACACACACACCCTCTCAAAGTACCTAAACAAAAGCACAAAGAAGGGAAGCAATTGGTACAGTGCTAAAGAGACCACACACATACACAAAATTAAGTTGTAGACCTATGAAAACTGGAAAAAATATAGAATCATTAGAATGGGGGAAGGGAGCAGAAACAACTATAAGATGAAAATCATAAAAACCAAGATTTTTTAAAAAAAATAGATCCCCTAAAATTAGCCTCTGATTTTTGTACGTACCTACATAAGTGAAAAATCAAAAGTGCTGAAGACATAGGAAGTCCTATTAGATCACTTACTTTGGTACCTATATATAGACTTAGGAGCCTAATTTTAGGCTCACAGTTTTGAAAATCCTGGCTTAAATATATATCTAAAGTGGAAGTATTATTATAGAATTTACATATAATGCAATAGGTGTGTGCATTCTAAGAGTTTTAGGACTTGGATAGCACAAACAAACAATTACTAAATTATCACAGACCCCACCTCTTCAGTGACACAGCTATGATTTCCAATTCACTGATGTGGGAACTAAGTGAGGACAGAGAGGCTAAGGCCAACATTTTCAAACTCAAGTATGTTTAGTCACCCAATGTATAATCAAACCCCTAAGTACATGCCATGATTTCAGAGGTATTAAGCATTCACAGCTACCACTGAATTCAATGGCATGCAGGTTTGAAAATGTTGGTCTGTGCTTTGAGGGAAACACAGAGTAGGGATTACTCGATTTCACCTACAGCATGCCGCAAAGGAAATGGCTCAGCCTGGGACAGCAGCTGGTAGAGAACTTGTGACTTATCATTAAAGTAGTTTGATCAAAATTGTACCTTACTGATCTAATCTGCAAATTTGCAAAAACTCAGACCACCTATGGCTATTGCATGTTTATACACAGGACCAAAAGGCTAGTGCTGGTTGATTTTGGAATATCTGATATTTTCCTTAGAAGTGGTGGGCTTTGAACACTAGTGGCTGGTTCATATCAGTTAATATTGTCAAAGCTTTCTTGAAAGCAAAAAGGCAAGGAATAGAATTTCTTTAAATGAAGGTCCCACAGATTAGGGGAGGCATGTGGTCTTGCAGAACTGTCAAGGTGAGCTCTATGTCAGTCTATAGCTTATAATATTAGAACCTGAAAACAATGTAGAAAAAGCGACCTTATTCCCAGTCACACTCTTGCCCACCACTCTCAACCTCCCCGTTCTCTTTTTGCTAAACATTTTGGAATTTCCAAATCCATTCTTCTTCCAAAGTTTTTAAAAAGTTGAGGCTTTAGCTTAACTACAATTCTGGGAGTGGTTAGTGTGCCTTAAATGAGAAAGTATCCAGCAGTTAGTGATGAATCTTGAATCCATGTGCTCTGGTTTGGAAGCATTATGTGAAAAGAGGCATGTGAAAAAAGGTATTTGAAGCATCTTTCTATTCAATTCTAATTCCTATCTTAATCGTTTATTGTACTTGTAAAGTTCCTAGCAGTACAGCACAACATATGTTCCAAAGAAAATTGCATTTCTTACCTAAACATTGGATTGAGATGGGAATCTCCAATCCCACTAAGCTAGGGGGAGAGGTAGACACACTGGAGGGCAGAGATAGGGTCCAGAGTGACACAGACAAATTGGAGGATTGGGCCACAAGAAATCTGATGAGGTTCAACAAGGACAAGTGCAGAGTCCTGCACCGGGACGGAAGAATCCCAAGCATTGTTACAGGCTGGTGACCAACCAGCTAAGTAGTAGTTCTGCAGAAAAGGACCTGGGGGTTACAGGGGATGAGAAGCTGGATATGAGTCAACAGTGTGCCCTTGTAGCCAAGAAGGCTAATGGCATATTAGGTTGCATTAGGAGGAGCATTGCCAGCAGATTCAGATATTGCCCTTTATTCGGCTCTGGTGAGGCCACATCTGGAGTATTGTGTCCAGTTCTCTGCCCCCCCACTACAAAAAGGATGTGGACGCATTGGAGAGGGTCCAGTGGAGGGCAACCAAAATGATTAGGGGGCTGGAGCATATGACCTATGAGGAGAGGCTGAGGGACTTGGGTCTGTTTAGTCTGCAGAAGCGAAGAGTGAGGGGGGATTTGATAGCAGCCTTCAACTTCCTGAAGGGAGGTTCCAAAGAGGATGGAGAAAGGCTGTTCATAGTAGTGACAGATGGCAGAACAAGGAGCAATGGTCTCAAGTTGTGGTGGGAGAGGTCCAGGCTGGATATTAGGAAAAACTATTTCACTAGGAGAGTGGTGAAGCACTGGAATGGGTTACCTAGGAAAGTCTCCATCCCTAGAGGTGTTTAAGTCTTGGCTTCACAAAGCCCTGACTGAGTTGATTTAGTTGGGATTGGTCCTGCCTAGAGCAGGGGGCTGGACTTGATGCCCTTCTGAGGTCTCTTCCAGCTCTATGGTTCTATCATTCTATGGAGTTAAATGGGCTATTCACTCCACTGTCCTTGATTCAAGTGTCTCTAGGAACTAAAGAAAGAATGTAGAAGACCTCAGCTTGTCTTCTTCAGCTAGATAAACAAGAGACCAATTTCCCTCCCTGACAGCACAGCAGTCCATAAGGAGTCTGTATCACTGAGGAAGGGCGATGTGGCAGGAACTCCTAAATGTGGGACTCAATCTGCATTCCAACTGTACATCAGTCATGAGGTCTCTCTATCAGCTCCAACCTGGAGAATGAGAAGGGAAGGATCCTGCACTCCCTTAGCACGACTGGAGTACTTTGTTAAAAATAGCATGAAATGGCAAAGAAGCTCCTAAAGCACTGATTTCCTGGTGAATTTGTTTGGCTAGTCTTGAAGCACGTGTCTGAGGAAGAGTCTTCTGCCTTCTGGAAGGAAAGGAGGTGGCTTTTAAGAAGAGATTTGTACCATCACCTAGAAGACTATTCATTTCTCTGATAAAAATGGGTAAGTTAGTTGTTCATGTATGTTGTTGCGAGGCTTGTTATTCATTTCAATTACTGGACTAATCACTGTTTCCATTTAGAGTTCCTTGGACATGGACTATTGGTAATTTCACAATGGATTACTGTGAAAATTTTTCCAGAAACCATATGTAGCCTACAAGTATTTTTTATGTTAAAGCATAGGTATAAGTTAATGCAGTACTGTACCAGAGGGTGTAGATGTGTTAGTCTGTATCCACAGAAACAATGAAGAGCCCTGTAGCACCTTGAAGACTAACAGATTTATTTGGGCATAAACTTTCATGGGCAACAACCCACTTCGCCAGATGCTTGCGCCTATATGGTCAGAAAGACAAGTTTAACTAAACAAGGCCTGAGCTCCAAAAGCTTTAGCATACTTTAAATCATAAGATATCACAAGATAGAATATCGTAATGACTAAATTGCCAATGTGTTACGACATTTTAAAGTTAGGGACATCAGTAGATATTGGACTACAAGAATATCACTGTAACTAATAGATGTGCATGCTACTAAGCTTGAGGGGAGAAAGGAAATCCAAGATTCGGAGGACAAGAAAATAGAAATTGTGACAAAGCTCCTACAAAAACTCAATGGGTCCTGTGCTTCCTGGTGGATTTGCTTGCCTCAGAGGCTCACAGCAGCCCACAATCTTAGGCACCATGCCTAGGGCTTTAATTTGCTGTTTGTTGAGCTCTTTTCATCATTGGCCAGTGTATGGTAAAATGGAGAATAAACTCCACAGTCCTTTTCCCTGAGTGGAAATGGAGAAGTGGGTGTTGGGAGTAAACCAGGCCCATGGTCTACTCTGGGTTCCAGCCCAGAGCCCTGTGATAGTAGCTGCTTGTGTGAACCCCTGGCACCTACTAGAATACAGCTCCAAGACCACTGGGCTACACCTTCTTTCTATCCAGTTCATCCTCCCAGTTATGACCTCCTTTCCTCCTACTCCCTGTGGTACTCTCCTCCTTCACCCTAGCTGCACTCACCCTCCCACTGCAGGGCTGCTACTTTTTTAGCCAGTCTGAACTGGTTTTCTTAATTACCCCCAGGTGTCCTAATTGGCCTAGGCTGGCCTGACTCTTCAGGCCTAGCCAATTAGCCACAGGTGTTCCATTACCCATGATTGCCTCTGCTGGTTCTAAACCAGCCCCTCTCTGTTACTCTGGGAGCAGTGTGACATAGTGGGGGTGCTGTCTGTAACCCCGTGTCCCCCTGCATTGTGATGTGTGATTCCTACTGACTCATCCACATGTGTATTAGCCCAGACACTTAGGTCCAGCCTGACCAGATAACAAGGCTCTTTCCCCAGGGGAGAGACAAAGGGAGGGAGGAGGAGCCAAGCAGCTGGTTTGGGGGCAGGGTCTGGGAGCCAGGGAGTTGCTGGCTGGGAAACATGAAGGAAACAGCCGAAGCTGAGGGGTGAAGGTCTAGGGGGGGCAATGGACCCCTAACCAAGGGGTCTGAGGCATCCTGGTCCTGACTCCTGTAACCACATCTCATCTGTGCTGTATCCTGGAAAAGCAATAAACCCTCTCTATTCTACTGGCTGGCGGAGTCTGTTCTTGCTGCTATGGGGCTGCAGGATATGGGGGAACCCCAACTCACCATCACAGCAGGGATCTCCCTCAGTCTGAGGCTTATGAGTCCCCTCCACTACTTTTTTATAGCCTTCTGTTCTGATCCTGTCACAAAATACAGAAAAGGGGATGAAAACCCTATTGAATATGCAGTAGGCACTATTGTATCATTACAATGTATTATAAAACTTGTGTCCCTGCCTGAGTGCCCTGGGAGATACGAGGATGGTGACCACTCGTGATGATGGTGCATCTGATGGTGGCTACAATGCTGATTTTTTGTGTAGAAGGAATGGTATAAGTATATTGATGATCAGAACATAAGAATGGCCGTACTGGGTCAGACCAAAGGTCCATCTAGCCCAGTAACCAGTGCCAAGTGCCTTGGAAGGGGTGGACTGAAGACACTGATCAAGCGATTTGTCTCCTGCCATCCATCTCCAGCCTCTGACAAACAGAGGCCAGGGACACCATTCCTACCCCCAGCTAATAGCCTTTTATGGACCTAACCTCCCCGAATTTACCTAGCTTCTCTTTAAATTCTGTTATAGTTCTAGCCTTCACAGCCTCCTCTGGCAAGGAGTTCCACAGGTTGACTATGCACTGTGTGAAGAAGAGGAAGAAGTTACTCACTCTGTGCAGTAACGATGTTTCTTCGAGGTGTGTCCCCCCCATAGGCGCTCCACTTCAGATGTCGGGCTCTGTCCCGGCACCGCAGGTCTGAGAGCTGTTAGCCGTGGTTCGGCTGGCCCACACACACACGGGGCACATGCGGTTCGCGCTGCTTCTGAGTGTGCATGGGATCCAGTTCCTCCTAATCGGATCACTCCTTAAAAACACAAGAGGAAACTCCAAAGAGGGGAGGAGGGCAGGTCATAGAACACCTACGGGGACACACACCTCGAAGAAATGTCATTACTGCACAGGGTGAGTAACTTCCTCTTCTTCTTTGGGTAGTGTCCCTGTGGGTGCTCCACTTCAGGTGAATACAGAGCAGCAGCTGTGCGTATGGAGGTGGGATTGGAGTTACTGTTTCTTTGCTATGGATAGTACAACGGAGGCTAACGCTGAATCTCGAGCGATTGCATCGATAGTGTAATGCTTAGCAAATGTCATATCTGATGACCACGTGGCTGTACGACGAATGTCCTGCATCGTGATGCTCTTCAGGACGTGACAACTGTTGGAATGGATGAGTCCTTTCTAAGTAAAAAGCCAACACTCTGTAGACATCAAGTGTGTGCAAGCGGGCCTCACGAGGCGAGGGGTGTGGCTTGAGGCAGAATGTGGGGAGTGAGATTGGCTCATTAATATGGAACTCTGAGTTCACTTTAGGTAAAAATGACAGGCGAGGCTGAAGGATTACTCCCGTGTTAGTAAATAGTGTGTATGGGGGGTTGGCAGAAAGTGCCGCTAGTTCTCCTACCCTTCGGGCCAAACTTATGGCCAAGAGAAAGGCCAGTTTCGCGGTAAGCAACTTTATGTCACAGGAATCAGAAAGTACGAAGGGTGGATAACTAAGGGTATCGAGAACGAGTTCCAAGTCCCAAAATGCAGGAAGTGTCCTGCGTGGGGGGTGTAAATTTTCCAGTCCTTTAAGAAAACGTTTCACGAGTGGGTGAGACATTATTGACAATGCATCTGTTGGTTGTCTAAGCGCAGAGATTGCTGAGAGATGGACTTTAATCGAGGAGATTGCCAGTCCCGTGTGATGTAAGTGCAGTGCGTAGTCCAAGATGCGGTGGATCGGGATGGACTCTGCGTCACAATGGTTGTCTACACACCAGGCGTGGAATCGACACCATTTGTAAAGGTAAGTCTGTGGGTGGATTCCCGCCTGCTATACAGCAGGATGTGCTTGACCTCTTGAGAGCAGAGGACTTCTGTGCCATGGAACCATCTAGGAACCATGCTGGGAGGTGCCACCTGTCAATCTGTGCCTGTGGTATCGAGAAACCTGGCTGTGTGAGTAGGTTGGGTTGTTTTGGTAGCTGATATGGGGCTTGTGTTGACATTTGTAGCAGCATAGGAAGCCACATTTGTCTGGACCAAAACAGTGCTATAAGTATCACTGTAGCTTGATCGAGGGTAATCTTCTTGATCACTC